GTTATACTACGACGACTTTTCTTTTTTTCTTTTAACCTAAGTTGCAAATATGGGTGCCACTTTGGGGCACTTTTACGGCTTTTTGATAGCATGTGCTTTGACATTCGAATTGTCATAACTCTCGCAATTGTTTGAAATCATTATTCACACATAATGTGGCTTTATGCTTTTCAATTTATTACATACAAAGCTATTGTGGATGCATTCAGTTTGTTATATTCCAAATTTTTTTGGCAAAATTGTGTCTATTTGTATTTGGTGCCACTTTTGCTGCATAGCATTGTCAATTTATTAGCATATGTAGCTGCTTTATTTCTGACTAGTGTTAACCGATTTTTGAGCGTCCTTGGCCGAGAGGGCAGAGCGTGAAACTCCAGTTCTCGAGGTCGCAGGTTCGAAGCCAATACCTTGCAAAATTTTACTAATTCGAGGCTTATTTCTATTTTTTCTTAGTTCATTTTATAAAGCTGCTTTTTTGTCTTGTTCTTGCGAGTGTTTGCGAAGCGCAGTTTCGCCTCTATGTAACAACTATTACGGCACACACTATAGTCTAAAATTGGAACTCACCGTCCAGGACTAAGTATCACGATCATCGCCGAAAAGGCTCTGTGAAAGGGCAAGAGACTCAATAGAAATATCGCTATGAAATTTTTTAGTTTCAGAAGAATAGAGTTGGTGATTCTACTCTCGAAAGTTGTACCAATAACTCAACTTTAAGGATTTTCAAAAATATCTTGAGATTTTCTGGAGAACTTTTAAAACTCGTGCTGCAAAAACAGGTTATGCATTTCAAAAATTTTATTGCGACTGCCGATCTTGCAGACTTTATCATATAAATGTGAGGGTGTGAGGGGCACAAACTCTCTTAAGACAATATTGAGCCTCTCACCCACCCGACAAGACCGATCTATTTTGTAGCTGTGCTTCGTTTCTTTGCCATTAAGTTTCGTTTTGTGTTTCGGTTTTGATTTTTTTTACACAGGTAGTTTGCGCTGTAAGATTAGTTTACATTCTTCAACCAAGTATTTGAAATTTTCTCTATTGGTGTCCAATTTTTCTATTGATGCAGCGCTAAACTTATTCGGCTTTTTATTAGCATGAGTTTCAACCGATTTATTTATGTGTATTAATTGCTAGTTGCTAGTCAAGAATGATGAAAATCTAACAGTAAAAAAGTTAAGGGGACTGACAAAGTGTTTAACTAATGCGCAGCTGATATTGGTTCGATCCTCCACTGCAGTATGCTTTTTGCAGGCTGATTCCATTTTCCGACTCATTCTCCTATTTTTGTGAACTTTGCACCTATTTTTTGTCATTAGAACTTAAACCCGATGTTGAGGAAGTGATTTTTCCCCCAAATCTCATGAAGTGTTTCATGCAGGAGCGGATTTGGGAATTTCTCGAGTGGGTTTCAAAAAATGTTGTCTATTTTTTGCGAACAGTTTCGGTTTGCGTCGATTTGTCATTTCACGATTGAATGAAGTCAAATTAAGAGCTGACATTTGTTTTTTGATGATTAAATTGTCACTATTTATACGAACACTTCAAAGGTATTTCGACACCGATTCTTTGGTTTGATTCGATCTAAACCGTTTTGACACCTTTTGTTTGTTGGTAACCATGCCTTCACTGTTTTTGGGTCTCTGTTCTTATTAACTTATTTGTGTTGTGCTCTGCAAACTGCACTGACCTGCAAGTAGCTTTACTAACTAGTACTAACTAGTTAATTAATGTGCTGTTTGATCCTTATATTTAGACAGCAGTCGCTAGCCAAAGGCAAAGTGATTTACATAGAAAGTGCATTATTTGTCTTTCGTTTTCTGTCAAATTAGACCTCTAAATATTGTTCTACTTTTGATGCGTCTTGAAAGTTTGATCTAGTACATATTACAGTAGTTCGCTTTTATGAATATCAGATTGCAGGAGTTTGGATTTTGACTACACGTCAAAGATATGTTTTTTAATCCTCAGCAAAAATTACAAAGGATTAAAAACATCTCTTTGACGGGTTCTCGAAAATCCAAACTCTTGCAATCTGGCATCAATACAAGCGAACTACTTTAATATGTACTGAGATCACGCATTCAAAGAGCGTCAAAAGTAGAACAATATTTGGAGGTCTAATTACAATCTCATACAAAAATTACTGTCTTATACTAACTACAAAAAACTTTAAACAAAAAAGGGATTTAGAAATCAGATGAGGCATCAAAAAGTCTATCATTGTGGGTCTGAAATTTTGAATGATTAAATTAAATGCTTATAAATATAAAATTTCCCGAAGACAATTAAATTGAAATGAAGATTTAGAACATTTCGACAACTAAAATCTGAAGTTTGTGTAGCTTGTCAAAACAAAATACCACCCAATACGAAATTTATTCAAAAGAGTTTCAGGCCAAAAGCGGCAGTCAAGTTTCAAAGTTGGTTCGGGTCTAGTTTAATCAAATAGTTAGAGCCAATTTAAACAAACTAACCAAGCCTATTTTCCTTACTGGGCCGCCGGGGCAAACAGAAAACAGCAAATGTGCTGCTTAACCGCTCACCACGCGTGAAATTCTTCGCTTAATATATCTTAAACATGATTTGAAACTCCCAGTACAAGAAGTAATCACTTGCTTTCAGGTTTCTTATGTTTTTGAACATGTGAAAACGTGTGTAACGTTGTCATTTTATCTTGTTCATTTCAAGTCGCCGCTTTTTATCTGCTGAACAAATTTCAGAACTGTCAACTTGTTCAGATTTGATCATGAAAGGGTCTTTACCCTTCCTGTTGTGTTGTGCCCGTTTGTACAGTTGGTACTATAAATACAAGCAAATATGGGTTAACTTGTTTGGCCAATCTGGGAGGGATTTGAGCAGTGAAGTTGAAACACGTGTTAGGGGCATGTAAATTGGCGGGATATATACCAAGCGTGGTATTAAATGTGGGTAAATTAAGATGGATTCGATTTGGGGTAAAATTGGAGCTGAGTACGGATAGGGGGATAGGGTAGTTTGACAAGTAACTTCCTTCAAAGAAGTATGCTACCCATACTCCGAAACACCGTACCCCTCTATTACATATGGTCCAAACATGTGAACATCAGAATGTTCCGATCACTGAAGACTTAAAGAATTACAAGCCAACAATAATATATATTTTTTGTGACTGTTTAGTTATTGGAATGCTGGAATAGCTGTTCTAATTTTTTCTAGCTTTTCAACGCTAAGTTGCGTTATATTTTTTTTGGTGCTCTGTCACCCTTATTTGATCAAATTTTTTGTGAAGTTGTTTAGGTCGTTCGTAGCCTTCTCTCTTTATTAGCTCTCCCGTCATAAAGTTAGAATGCAATCAGTCTAATAATCTCTTATCTTCCCTCCCTTGTCTCGCCTGCTAGCACACAAGTGCAGCCCCTTCCCCACTTTGAAGCAAATTCAATCTTTGAAGCAATGCAGTGCACATAATTAATGCATCTTGTTCGTATCCTCGTCCTTACAGGCTTGCAAGTGTAATTAATAAGCGAAAACAAAAAAAATCATGCTGTAATTTCAGTCCGCCCCCCCTCTAAATCCGCTACTGTGCAGATATATTTCACATGTTTGCTGTGCTTTTATATAAAAAACGCATATTTTGTTTTTTTTCTTCACCTGAAGGATGATGCTTAAAAGGAAGACTTTAAAAAGGTGTTTGGGTTGATTGATAAGAAGTGACATGTAACATTGACTGCCCAAGTAATACCTGGTGACAAATGTGACACATAATGGGAGCACGCGTGAAAAGATATTGCACTGAAAGGAGCGAGGGGAGGGAGAGAACAGGCTCTTAAAGTAAAGGGAAAAAGGAAATTGCTCAGGGCTTGAATGGGATATAAGTTAAAGAGATGAAAGGAAAGATGGCTTCTTTTTGAGTATTTCGAGTAAATAGAAAGGTGTTATGTTACGCAATAAGGAATTGATTAGAGGTTACCAATCATCTCACGCTGGTTCGAATTGTAGACGAGCTATTTAAGTGAAAATCTTTCTGATGCTTCTCTCTTGGGGTATTCTGGTATCTGGTTTAATTAGTCATTGTTTGTTTTTTCCTCGCTTTTTGCTGCATGAAATGAATGGAACTTTTTTCATCAGAAGTCGGTGAAAATAATTCAACTTACAGTGACATTGTTCCCGCCTTGTCATATTTGACACCTGATGTTTGGAATTTTCCGATGGGTTTTCAAGTTAAAAATGTGCCTTATTTACTTGAAATAACGACTAATTATTAAAAGGTCATTTAATTCAAAAAAGTGCAAGTCTGTTTTTCCTGTTTTATAAAAAAAAATGTTTAGAATATTTTTTGCATGCATCTTAACTCTTTCATCTTAAACGTTGAACTTGGTTTTGTTTGATACCTGATAATTTTCGATTGGTTTCCTCATTGACAAAAGCCTCATTTACAATTCACATCTGACCAAACATAATTGTGTCAGAAAGAGACAATCTGTTCTCTCTCATTATTATGACCATTTCGATGATTGAACGAATAGATGAGTGGCTGAAATAATAGGAGGGGACAACTTTGTTTGAAATCAATAGATCATGAGTCACTAACAATCGAAATATGAAGGAGTTATTGTTTTACAGCGGTTTACTACATAGTCAAGTTGACGAGAATTTTAAACATCTTTTTTTTACTTAGTGTAGCAAAATGGTGGCAATTTGGAACATTGCATGATTCTGTGTTTTGTTTAGTTACCAGGATTCATGTCTGACTTTTTTCACTCAAATTTTTTCACTCCGTCTTTTTAAATGGTTGCAATTATTTTAAAAGCATTGAGATGAAAGGTAGCAGAATTAAGTTAAAATGCGTTCCATTGAATAGACCAAATAAAAATCTTCCATCCTTTCTCTTTCAGGAAGAACTTTAATTTTTCGCGGCTTGTTTTTTGATTTATTTTCAAATTCAGTTCAAATTCATGTTCTAAAAGGAAGGCAATATTTGCGTTTGGTTTCATATCCTATATTAGTTTATTCTGTTTCAGATGCTGACAATGGTGGGGGCACAGACAGAAAAGGAGGTGGGGGCAGTGGAGGGGGTCTGTGGGAGGGACTTCCTGCAGTGATGGGGGTGCCAAGTGCAGTCATCGCTCTCATCGCTTCCCTACTCCTTCTAGTCATCCTCATCCTTCTATTCTGCACCTTCTGCATATGCATACACTGCAGGTAAAAGAAGACTAATCAAGCGTCGGTTCAGTTTTTTAATTATCATTTGGGTCATAATTATCATGAAGTATGTTTTAACCCGCATTATCGTTTTTTTGTCCGCAATTATCATCTTGAAAGTTTTTTCATACTTTTGTTTTTGCTTAACGAACGATTCTGAGTATTGACGCTTACTGGTCTCAAATTTAACCCTCATATTTTGCTCTTTAGTTCTTTTTGTTTGGACTATGCCCTCTGTAAAACAGCCCAAAGTTGTTAATGTTTCTTGAATCTTTGAGTAATTGATGCTTCCTGATCTTCTATTTATCCCTCAGATTTTTGTACTAAGTTCATGTTTGTTCCTATTTTCGAAGAAAACGGAATGCTTACGCTTGGGCCGGTTTTTTGTCCAGCCATTTTTCGACTTGACGGAAGTTTTGTATATAATCTGAAAGATTTTGTTATCCGGAGCTCAAATGTTTTTTCGTGTTTTTTATAATACGAAAAGGTTTTTGTACCAATGAGGTTCTTCATACGGACTGGGGTTGTGCTCGTCTTGATAAATCTGTTGGAGTACAAAGTATTCAAGACTGACGAAGTTTTCGTGGCATTTCGTCGTCTTAGTTTTCCTAACTCGTAGAAAGGTTTTAGAAGGTCCATGCGATAGAACTTTGCCCTTTAAGAATTTTGTTCAATAAGAAAATGTCTGTTTTATCAGCGCAAAGGGAGCTGGTAATTAGCTGTACTTGAAAATTTTTGACCCTCTAAAACTTTCCCATTTCGAAAGAGTGTTGTTGGTTTGGCCTTAAAGTCTACTCTGGATAATCTTACTTTGCAGATGGAAGAGATTAATGTTTTTAAAAATTAAAAACATTGAATTTTTAAAAATAATTCAGTAAAACAGCAGCGTTGGGTTGTGTCAAGGGGTGGTAAATCGATAATCGAATATCTGATATATCGCGATACAATATATCGAAATATCTATTGACAAGCTTTTAAGTATCGCGGCAATCTTTCGATTGAAAATTCTGTTTTTTTTTTTTCGATAATTTCGAATCTCTATTTAGTGATATATGTAGGCTAACTGTCCCAACTTCGAATAACATCCGCAATATTGGACCATGCAACGATCTATAGTTTGCATTGGGGTACCATAATGTGCATTGGGTTACCTTGAAATTGTATATATTTTAACGTGTTAACTAATACTGTGTGTAATTTTATTAGATGGACAACCACTAATACATAAAAAGTTAACGCGTGCGCTCTGCCGGTATCGTTTAGACAGAGCGCACTTGCGACCCCTAATGTAACACCAGCAGAGCGCACTCGAGCTCCAGAGTAAATTTGGGCAAACCTATCTGTACTGAAAATTTTGTGGGAGCTATCAACTTCGAGTTATCAACTTTTATAAATTTTGAAAAAGTTACTACTTCGGTACATTTTTTAATTATACGTGCGCTCTGCCAACTTGTTAGCAGCTCTACAACTTTTGATAATTTTTGGGCAAATTTTAGTTTTTGTAGCCTTGCTCGTTGAATAAGGAAAAATTAGCAAAGGGCAGAGCGCATCTATTATAGTTATTTTAGCAATAAACACTGAAAGAAAATCATATGTTTCCTTGACGACAATCATGGCAATGTAGTTTAAATCACTTACAGATGTTAAACTATTGTAAAAAAAATAGGCCCATCAGGGTTTTTAAGTTATTTCGATAGAGCGCACCTATAACTACGGTTTTTCAGGCAGAGTTCACTCATAAATATTTTAGACTTTTTATAATTTTAGATTCATAAATATTTTAGGCTTTTTTTTTAGATTTTCAAACCTATTTTTGATGAATTAATGTTCATTTAAAATGCACTAATTAAAAAATTACAGCCGCAAGATGCGCAAAATTTTGATTGGTGACAGTAAAATGAGACCTGTAAATCTTTTTGGCAGAGCGAACGTAAAGTTAAAGTTCGGCAGAGCGCACCCTATAAATATGGTTATTTCGGTTATATCGGATAATCTATCGAGGGGTCTAATGTATCGCCATAATCTATCGACACCAAAATTTCTACCGTCGTTACGATACTTCACATACATTGTCACGTAAAATGAAGTAAATTTTTTCTGCGGCCACGTTTTTACACTTTGCGCTCACCAGTTAATGACAACAAACAACCCCAGTTCCTGAAACCACTGTAAATTTTTCTCAGAACCTTTTTTTATGATGCCATTTTTCAAAAGTTCTTAGTTTTTTGCATAAAACCAAACTGTTTTCTTCGTATTTTCGTCTAATTTTTTTTCGTTTTGTCAACTGATTAGACCGCTGTAATTACAATAAAGAATACAAAGTAAGGGTCGGTTTTAATCTTATTATTTACTGATTATGAAAGTCTCTTTCATTTTAAATGAAAGTCGTAATGCGCCATGGACGCTAATTTTTAATTTTTCTATCGAGCACAACGTTTAAGAAGGCTTAGATCAGAATGTTGAAGAATCATTCAGAGCAACCATCGAGCTCAATGTTTACGAGGCGTTTAAGCAATAATTTTCTAGAATTTTAATCTTTCTAAAATCTTTAAACAAGTTTCTGTCTGAACTTGTCTTAGTCTGAACAAAATCTACTAAAAACAGCTGTGAAAATTTTGAACCTCTATGCTTTGAAAATTCATTTTTTAGTAAACCGATTCGCGCTATGAATTAACTTGAATTATTTCAAATTTTCATAGCTGGAATAGCTTGCTTAGAAAAAGTTAAACTGTTCGCGAACCGATTCAGTCTATAAACTAACATACAATTTTTCAAAGTTTCCTTACTTGACTAGTTTGCTTAGAAAAACTTGAATGGTTTTTTTAGAAATGGTTTCGTCGCTTGAATGGCTTTAATAAAAAACTTAATCTTTTGGGCATCCAAATTGCTTTTCGAATTATCTTTTTTTCGAAGTTTGTTTAGCTGTAATAGCTTCTGTAGAAAAACTGCAACTTTTCCCGGACCGATTTGTTTGAAATTTAAAATTTTTCAAACCTATTTCGTAACCTGAAAATTTCAATATTTCATTGCTTGTTAACTTGAAAAGAACAAAAAAAATTTGTGGCGAGCCGATTAGTTATCGGAGACGGGCTTGCTAGTATATTATATATTTAAAGTATATTTATATAGTTAGGATTATATCTTTTTTAAAAAAATCAGTATTCAGAAAACGTTTTGACTTTATGCGTGATCCGATCAATAAATCTATGAATTAATCTAGGTACTTGAATAGCATGTTGAAGCTCAATTTCATCAAGCGCATAGATGTCAATTTAATTTCTGACTGCTTCTAAATACTTCGAACTGCAGAAAAATTACCGTAATCTTCTTTAAGTCTCTGGCACGCCATTGAAGTGTAGAAAGACCTAGATACCTTTTACGTAGACACTCTTTCTAACTCTTTTTAATCAACCAAAGTGGATCTAAGAACTAGCTCTGTAACTGATCAAAACACAAGGGGAGGCGTGATTTTATGTGCGTAACCACAGAGCTACTATCTTCCCTCTATATTTAATTTAAGAAGCGAATCTATTTCAGGTAGAAATAATCTTTTTTCATGATAAGTTTTACTTTTTACCGACCTTAAGGACAGTGAAAAAAATTCAATTTCCGCTCAGTTGTTTCTGTCGATGTTTTCTCGTTTTCGGTCATGCCTAAACAGGTCGAAAATGAAATAACCTATTTTAGTCATAAACTGAAATGTGTCAGCTTTAATTTGAAAATAAATCCCATATGCCAATTTTATTTAAAATTTCCCAAGTCTTATGTTCTCTTTATTATAACAACTGTTCACTTCAAACTGCTTTAAACTTTCTTCCCACTCAAAAAAGTATTGCTATTTTTTGATGTGTCATTTTTGACTGAAGCCTGATGTGATTTGTTAGATACCTATTTGGAAGTTCAGTTTTTAATGTGAATATAAGTATAACTGACTATGAGTAATGCTATAAAAGTGGAAATTTCCAATTTGAATACCCCTTCTTTTCTTACCCGTCCCTTTTTCTAATCAGATCAGTATTGCAGCAAAAATACAATGACACCATTTGTTGTTCCTCTTTTCTAACTTATTATCTGATTTTCCGGGATATTGAGGAAACAGAAGACAGAAAGGTCGAGTCGAAATTATTCAATAAATTAAATTTATAAAAAGACGCACTCAATTCATGTTGTGATTTGACTCAGATGTGAGCCATTTTCTTTTAACCTTAAAATTTTTTCAAATGATCTTACTGAATCTATAAAAATATAGAAACAAAAGGGGAATCTTGAAATCTGGGTTGTTAGTTGTTTGATTACAAGCAGGCCGTTGTAAGCTAGGCATACGTGGTTTGTTGGTTAAGCTTTGTTGAAAAAAAAAACAATTTAAATTACATTGGCAATTTAATAGATTATTAATCATTTTAACGTCTTTTCTTAATTCATTTTTCAAGAGAAAAAAAAAAGAGACCAAGATCAAAGAATCATTTCTATGCTGAGCTCTTATTTCAGAGAGCAAGTTCAAATGGTTTAAACGCAACTTATATTTCTTAGGAAAACGAATGTTTAGCACTAAAATGTTCTGAAAATGAAAAAACCGTTACCTAATTCAATTTTTTGACATTTCAAATGTTTTTTTAAAGAAAAATTGACGTTCTGTTGATTTGACTCAATTGTTTTTCGATGGATTGACTTATTGGCGATCAATGGCAGGATTGGCTATTATTATCTTTTTCCTATACTGAGAACATCATTCGTACCACTAATTTTATTTTTGCACAAAACATGACAAAAACGAGCGGAACCTTATTTGCTACAGCAAAAAACGAATACATGTTATCAATTTTTTACTGTTTTATTTTCGCTCATACAATTTAAAATTAATGTTAAGTCTTTCCATTTAAAACTGACATATAATATCCGCTTTAGTTTTATATAGAAAGAATGCTTAGCTTTCCCACAATTTTTTTTTCGTCCATTAATTGTTTTTATTCGATAGCTCATTTCTCATTAGTGAAATATTG